CATGTGTGATGTTGTAGATACACTGCTTCTTCAGGCCTCCACCCACACCCTGTGTTGTCACATGTAGGGTGAAATGACTCCAGGGTTCAGGTCTGGAAAACATTTAAGGCTATGATTCTGATGTTAGGATTCAAGTCTTTTCTTCTGACTCATATTGGATCAAGGTTTCAAGTGGGGTTTCTGATATTTACAAATCTGCCATTCTCAAGAATGTTTGAGAACTGTCTGTCTGTGCTGTAACCCTACAAATATACCTTGTAAAAACTCCTTCCTTCCCTCGAAGAAGCAGCCTGCATTTTGGAGCAGGTGTTAACATATCTCCAAAAGGAATACCAGCACCTCAGGTGAGGGGGTTCTACAATCTGGGAAAGGTGAATAAAGACAGTAAGCATTGAATGGGAAAGATGTTTTGAGCAATGCTCAAGTATGAGAAGCTTCAACCAGATACCTAGTGTTACATTTAGCATCTAAGTCACGGGAAGCTGAACCATTACACGCTGTCTCCTGCAGCAGTAACCAGCCATTCTGACTATTATGATGAGTCTCAGATTCCTTTGAGATATTCTGCCCACAGGGAAATGTGTCTAGACATCCAGTTTTGCAAATAACCTTAAAAGGCTCACAGGTCACCCTTCCTCTTAGATGAGAAAGTAATGCTGTTCTAATGTGATGGCCTAGGAGAAAATCACTTGAATGGTTATTTGCTCCTCTGTTTGGAGCAAAACCCAAACTCTCCTGTAACCTTGTTCTGCAACAGACTGCAGTGAAAACATAGTCAGTCTTGCAGATAATTTTTAGTTGAGAGTCTCTGTGAAAAGTTTCCAAATGTAAAACAAGCCTCAAATAGGATAGCCAGTCATTTGCTTTTTCGTTATCCTAATGTCCTTTGGTTGTGAAAAATAGTCATGTTAACAGAAACCCACACTGAGAATGAGATTGAGATAGATGTAAGTGCTGGAGAAGCAGTATTTGGTAACAAATTATAAAGCATGCTCTGGAGAGAGGGGATATTTTTATTTAGTCTTCATTTGACAGGTTAAAACCTTTTCATATTTGAAGAAGTTGATAGACTAAAGCTATGCTATATTAGTTTAAGCTGGAAGTGAACATATATTTTGTCCATATGGAGGTAATGTTCTTCTGGTTATCATCATGCTAATTTTCAAGTTTAGCTCGTCAGAATGTACTATCTAGAAACTGGTTTTGAACTAAAGGGGTGGCGCTGTGTTGGAATAGTGAACTGGAAACTTTGCTCATATTTTCTCTGAATCTGTCTTCTAAATTGTGCAACGATATTGATACCATAGTCCTACAGTGCTGAGGGACAGAGAATTCAAAAGCAGAGTCTCACCCCAGCTGGTGTTGATTATCTTGTTTTCAAGTTATCCATTCATTTATTCATTCAGAAAATTTGAAAGAATTTGGGAGCAATTAATCTACAGAGGTGCGGTATGCTCGGTGTCTTTTTGTTTTTTATTTAGATGATATCAAACAACTTTTTGATTTTGTAGGATTTAAAATCTTTACCATGACCTGAAATTGCATGTGTATGGTCTGGCAAAGGTGATTCTGACAGTCCCTCCCTGCCCATTCCTCTTGAGTCCCTCTTAGGAGCAGGTGGCTTTCCAGCCTGGGTCCTGTGTGGCTTTTCCTCTGGTTGCTGATTTGGCCTATTTCCCCTCATCTTGCAGTTTACCTGTTCAAATCTCACCTACTCAGAGTGGTATCCTGGGGCCACAGCATACATATGCAGCACCTCCCACACACTCCACACATCTGCATAATCATGTTTCCCTCATGGAATTTGGTGCTGGCATCATGCTTTTTCCATGTAGGTATCTTTTGCCTTTGAAATGTGATTTGCATGAGAGAAAGGACCTTGCGGGGGAGTCAGTGATAATGTAATAATGGCTGCTACATACCATGTTAATTATGGCCTTTTCAATGAATGAATGGTCTTCTGTCACACGTTTGGAGTGCATGAGGAAAACTAGGACTTTAGACTTGTGACCCCAAGCTGAGAACCGTTTCATGAGAGTAAGTGATTCTTTGGTAAGGAATTACCAAAATTCTGGGCACAAAGCCAGTTAGGTAGCACAAATACTTTACACACATTAATTTAATCCCCATGAGCCCATGAATTAAAAGTTATTTCATTTTATAGATGTAAAGGAAATTAAGGCACTGACATGAAGCTTCACAGATAGGTTTGAAAGCATGTATTGAATGAATATTATTTTTTCTATCTCAATTTTTAATTTATATAACATAAATTTATTTCATGGTACAGATTTAGATGCATAGGGATCCTCTTTCCTCCACTTACTCCCCCATCCTTATATCCCCCTTTTATTATTTTTTAAATTATTAGTTTTGAAAAATATTTTTACTTGAAAGCCAGAATTAAGGAGTGGGACAGAGAGACAGATCTTCCATCCAATGGTTCACTCTTCAAATGGTTACCACGGTCAGACTTGGGCTAGTCTGAAGATGGGAGGCAGGAGCTTCTTCTGGGTTGCCCATGTGGGTTCAGGCAGCATCCCATATGGGTGCTTGTTCAGGTCCTAGCTGTTCAACTTTTGATCCAGCTCCCTGTCTATGGCCTATGAAAGCAGAGAAGTATTGCTCAAGTTCTTGGGCCCCTGACCCCATGTGGGGGACCTGAAGGGAGTTCCTGGCTTCCCACATTGGGATGGCTTGGCTCCAACCATTGTAATTGTTTGGGGAGTGAATCATCAGATGGAAGATTTTCTATGTCTTTCCTTTTCCCTGTAAATTTAATAATAATAAAATCATAATAATAAAGAACTAAATCTTAAAAATAATTTAGAAATCTGATAGAAAGATCAACTTTAGTTTCTGTAGTAAACAAAGTTTTCTTTGCGTGTTTTTTTTTAATGTCACTAGATCTGTTTATGTGCGCAGCAGAAGCAAAATGTGTAAGTTTAATGCTACTATCATTGCAACATACTAGCTGGGATTTTGTTTTTCTTTACACTGAATACTTTCTTAGACTTGGCCCCATCATGTGAAGGATGCGATGTCATGGCTACATTTTACCTAATATTCAATTTCTTCTCTATAGCATGTGCTGTTAACCACAGACACAAAACTCATATATTTTCACAACAGAGGGAAGAAAGCTCCGTGGAGTTCATGCACTACTATGATGGCTTCAAGCACGTTGTATATGAATGACTGTGCATATAATTCAGAGATTAAAAGGTTTTTTTTCCCCTGGGGAAAAAATCCATAAACTCAGAGACCAGTTGATTCAGCAAAAGAAAATGAGTGTGTCATCATCCAATGTTGTTGAGCTTTAATACTCCAGCATTATCACAGAAATGTTATTACAAGCATTTCTGTTTGTACACAGTCTTAGGTGATCCTATCTGATACTCACAATTACCCAAGGGAGTGGGCCGAATGAAGATCATTAAGCCACTTTACAGATGAGGAAATTGAGGTTAATGGAATTTAAAGAGCTTGCCTAAGGTCAGAAAGCTATTAAACAGTAGAGCCAGTTCTTGGACCAAAGTCTCTAGCCTCCCTGTTACACACTTTTCTTGCTATTCACATCTTTCCATTGTCAAAGCACCTGCCAGGGGGGAAGTTACAGATTTCTTACCACCAGCTGCTTGTGACAAGTAGAATCTCTAGGGCTTAATATGCTATATTTTTTACTCAGTACTTTGTACATGTCTTTTGTCTCATGTTTTGCAGTCCTGTTAACTTTGTGAAAACAATGAGCTATATTTGTAGATCAGGGCTAACATTATAAGTGTACTGTAAGAAGTTTATGGGACATTATATTAAAAAGTAAGGGTTTCACTGCTACAAAATATTACAATCCATGCATACAAGGGGACTTCATATGTAGATGCATATTTTGAAAAAGAAAACTATGCATAGATTTGAAAATTGTTCGCACCAAAATATACTTGCCTCTTAATTCATTTTTTCAGAAACCTTTTGAAGTAATCTTAGATTTGATTTTTAGCATTTCAAATAAGTTTTCTGTTTCTTCTGGAACTTCCTAGCATATTCCCCTTGCATCCATTGTGATAGGAACAGGTGGAGTTGGCATTTTAGAGTTTTAGCATTTTTATTTAGTTTGAAAGAGTGAAGAGAGACACAGAGAATACCTTTCTATCAGCCGGGTCACTCCCCAGATGGCCACAATGACTAGCAGTGTACCAGGCAGCAGCCAAGAGCCAGGAGCCTGCTCTGGTTGTCCCATGTGGATGGCAGGGGCCAGGTACTTGGGCCATCTTCAGCTGCTTCCCCTAGTGCATGAATGTGGAGCTGGATTGGAAGTAAAGCAGCCTGGATGGAAACTGATGCCTGTATGGAATACTGGGGTTGCAGGCAGTGGCTTTACCTACAATGCCAGTACCTTACAGCAACTCCTGTCTTACATCTCAGAGTGTGTATATTCTGGGGTCCAGGAGAAACTTTCTCAAATTGCTTCTCTGTTTGCACAGTCTTTGCTGGTGTTAACCACCTGTACTGTGTCCTAGATATTTTGAAAGACAAAAAATATCTCAAACCTATGTGTCTTATATGTTTAACAGGAACTTACAAATAAGTGGTCCAGGCAAACATGCATGGTGTGGAGATAATGGTTTAAGAGATAAGTGATTCCACAAGATCCAGCTAGGCACAGATGGAGGGAGAGAGAAGTACAACCGGGCTGTATTGACTGTTTATTCTTCCTGAACCTGAAAGGCCACTGGTCATCCTGCCAAATCTCTCTAGTTAGTGCAAAAGCCCAATGAAGTGTAGAAGACAATAATTACTTAACTTTTACCTGGTTAAAAAAAGAATGCAGGTTGCTCACAGGTGATGGTCCTGCACAATGGTGTTGAATCTGAATAATGAAGCTTTCCAAAGAGAAGCAAAACATACTCCAGTTGTGTAAGATAATAAAGAAACTATAGCTGAGTTTTTGGTTGTCTTGTTTTGTTTTCCTTGCAGATAAGAGTTTGGCCAGTCCAGTACACGAGGTCAAGATGTTGCTCCTGTGCCATGCTCTGGTTGTAGCTGTTGTCCAGGTCTTCACTCTCTCAGAGAGCTTGGTGTTTGCCAAGAATATCAACTTCTATAATGTGAGGCCTCCTGTTGACCGTAAGTAGCACCTGCCATGCCATCTCATGACTGTGGAGCCAGGGGTCTGTCCCTCCCTCTCCTGCCTATTACAGCTTTGTCTCTTTGCATTATGCCAATAATAAACCAGAAAATCTTCATCTGTAGGTCTGGATCTGATAACAGAAAATTTCCTGTTTTCCTGCTAAAGTCTGAAAGGATGCTGTTTTTTGTTTTTTAAAAAATTGTTTTGAGCACCATTGCTAATCATGGTTTTTTTCATAAAATTTATTTATATACAGAGAGAAGGGCAGACAAAGAGCTTCCTTTTGTTGGTTCACTGCTCAAGTAACTGCAGCAATGCTAAGCTGATCCGAAGCTGGGAGCCAGGAGTCCACTCCTGGTCTCTCATGCAGGTACAGGATCCCAAGGCTTATGGCCATCCTGTACTGCTTTCCCAGGTCACAAACAGGGAGCTGGATGGGAAATGGAGCAGCTGGCACAGGAACCAGTGTCCATATGGGATGCCTGCGTGTACAAGGCGAGGATTTAACCACTAGGCCATTGTGCCAAGCCTGCTAATCATAGTTTTGGTGGAGGATCTTCAGCGTTCTTCATTGACCTATGTTGAAACCTGCTAGCTGTAGTTTTCTACATAAATGATAAACTGATTGCTCCCAATGGCCACTGATTACCTTGAAAATAAATTATTGTCTTGAAGTTTGGAGAGAAATATTACCTGAATTTTCATGGCTATTGCATATACTTATCATTAGTAAAGGTTATATAAAATTCTATTCATTGCTAATAGTTTAAAAACAGAAAAGTGAATATTGCCTGCAAGGTAATATGTATTCATACAGTTTATAATGCATGGCTATCCCCCTAAAGCTTGAAGACAAAAAGAGTTAGAAAGGTAAGTTATTTTGCTATAAAAATTTTGAAATTCATGCAAGCAGAGATTTTTTTTGTAATTTGCATTCTTGTGAACTTTTTAAAGACTCCTTGAATGAATGGATTTCAATTTGCTTTGTGCCAAAATAGGTTCATTTTTTAATTCTGATTTTCCATTCACTGTTTGAAATAATTTCATGTGTTTATATGCTTTGATCATTGGCCATTCTTTCTCTTTTTTTCAGTTAAGTAAAACTTTCCTGATGTATTTTATTAGAAAGAAATTCTTGATGTAAAAAAGCATTTGGAATGGATGTGAAAGCCTTTAGTTCCTACACATGGAAAAGTCAAAGAATGCATTAAAAATGCATTCCTCCAGAAATTCAGAATCAGGAGGGCAAGAGGGGGAATATTTTTTCCTCTTCCTTTCTCTGCTTCCTTTTTCATAAAGCTCCTAATAATCTACTGGTGTCTATCCTAAATAGGTCTGTGAGCACTGTTCTTTCCTTTGTGTTTCCTTTATAATTTTGGCCACTCAGTTATGGGTGCAATTTTAAACATTTGTGGGAAGCTGGAATTAAAAGATAAATTTATTTCTTTGATAAAAAGTTTGGGATCCATGAATTGTTTTTGCATAATTAACATACTCCGTGAACTCCATAGAAGACGTTTTAAATTCATGGACTTGAAAAATTTTTCTTACACCACTGATATATTTACCTTTTAATTCAATCTTTCATAAACTTTTTGAAGTGCCCTTATGCATGTGTATGTATATGTATGCTGTTTACATATATACATATACATATGTCCCATGCATATACGTCCCGATTTACCATTTATTATGAATTCTAAGTTGGTAATTATTTTGTACTGATGGTTGAAAAGCATGGCACATTTTTTCCTGACTTGTAATTTCTACAAATTTTGAACTTTTTATGCCTAATAGAATGTTAAATCTTTTAAAAATTTTATTTGAATGCAAAGAAAGAATGCTTCGTTCTATGATTCAATCCCTCAGTGTCTGCAATAGCCAGGTCTTGGGATGGAGATGGAAGCCAGGAGGACACCAGTCTGGGTCTCCCTTGAGAGAGGCCGACACCTAAATTTTCGAGACATCATCTGCTGTCTCCAGGAGCAGGAAGCTGGAACCAGAGATGGAACCAGGCAGCTAGATGAGGGGTGCAGGCTTCCCAAGTGGCATTTTACCATGCCAAATGCCCATCTCAAGCCTAGTACAGTGTTATGAGGGAAAAACATCATTTCTAAAGAGGACAAAGCTAATATGTATTCATTAGAGAAAATCTGTTAGAGATAGCAAATGTATACTAGAAAAGAAAATGCAGGCATAATTTCAAGGTTCTGAAGGATCCTTCTTTAAATTTAGAATATTTCCTTCCAGTGGATTTTTTCATATGTATGCTTAAATATGTGACACTGAGATCATTCTGAGATCATACAAATTTAGTTGACATTAATCTCTCCCCATTACACCATTTTTTGAATATTTTTCCCAATATAAAAATGTATTAATGCTTTTTACATTAGTAAAATTCACGTGACTGGTCAGTAATGTGTTTTACGGGGTCTCTGTATTTCAAATCAGAAAAAAATAATCGAAGCCAGCATTGTGGCATAACAGGTGAGCCTCTGCCTGTGATGCTGGCTTTCCCATATGGGCACCACTTTGTTTCCTGGCTGTTCCACTTTAGAGTCAGCTCCCTGTTAATGGCCTGAATGAAGACCAGGTCGTGACTTTGGCCTGGCCCAGCCCTTGCTGTTGGCAGCCATTAGAGGGGTGAGCCAGAAGTTAGAAGGTTCTCTCCCACTCTCCTTCTCTCTCTTCTCATGGGTGGGTATTTGCTTAGCAAGTAAGATACTCATACAAACATGTTGGACAGGCTGGGTTTGATTTCTTGCTTGAGCTCCTGATCCCAGCTTCCTGGAATACAGATCCTGGGAGGCAGCATTAGTGACTCAAATAGTTGAGTTCATGCTACCCATGGGAGACGCCAAGTGAAGCTTCCAGCTCCCAGCTCTGACCTGGTCTAATTCCTGGACATTGTGGGTGTTTGAGGAGTGAATTAGTAATGGAAACACTATTTCTCTGCCTCTCAAATGATAAGTAAAATTAAAAAAAAAAGAAAAATCATATGCAAGTTAAATAATACTTAATTGAGAATTTTTTCAAATGCTTTTTTCAGTGATCTCAGGGTAGATTTTCTGTCATTATAATTACTAAATCCAAAAGGTTATGCTCATTTAGACTTTAACTGCTAACCTGGCAGCACAAACTATAAAGAATTTTCAAACTGTACTGATTGACTAAGTGAAGATAAATGCCAATTTTAGTATATCTTCTGCTGAAACGAGCACCCGTCGTTTACCTAGCATCCTCCTCTGTGTAGGACAAAACCGATCCATATTCCTTGATACTTGATGCAATTCCTCTGAACCATGAGTATTGATACTTTGCTCATATTACACAGTTCCTGCTGTCCTGTCCTGTTTCTGGGATGGCCACTGCTGCCTGATTTGTGCCTCAGCTTCTGGTTATGAGACTAGGATGACTGGGATCTCATTGTCCTATTTGTTTCATTTCCCAAAATGGGAAGACTGGGAAGGTTTACACAGAGTTCTATATGGTAGTCTGTATAACATTTTTTGTTGTTCATTAACAAAACAAGGTAATATCCTCCCCCACCAAAACAAAAACAAAACAAGCAACAACACCCCCCCCCCCGAAAAAAAACCACTAAAGGAAAAAAGGAATGAAGACAAAAGGAACAAGCTAGTTACTCTCAATTGAGGCTGCTAGCCATTCAGAATTTCTCTTTTCTGTAATATCCTAGGCTGAGTGTTTGCACTTAATAATTGTTGTCATTATTCTACTTGTATTAAATGTTGATTTCCTGGTACAGATTTAATGTTGTGGTCACTGACATATATCAGAAGGGATTACTTGTTTGAGGTTAAGTGTAGCTAAGATGGTAAGCAGTATGATTTGATGTGTGTGGGACTTCATTACTTATCTTACTTACAACTTTCCACTTAACTCCCTATCCCTTTGCTAAATGGGGTGGCTGAGAGGGGTGTTCATCATTACTATAAATCTTATTTTAGCTTAGAAGTTAAAAGTCACACACTGATTACTGGGAAAGACCAAATTCAAATTCAGGATAATCTTGACTCTAGTCATTTTCAGGGATCAAATTAGAGTTCTAATTCTAGTATGCTTGTCCATCCTCTCAACTCATCCTTATCCCCAAATTATAAAGTGTAACAGAATAATCCATGATTTTTCGAAGTGGCTGGTGTAATCACTTTTATCACTTTATAGTGACAATTCATAACAACAAGAATTTAAAGAAAAGGGAATGAGGAAAATGTCCTAAATCCTGATGGGGAAATGTAGGCTGATGCTTTGTAACTTAATCTAATATGTGTTGCGAATTTTTTGTGTGTTTTAATCTTTTTAACTTTACATTTTTCTCTAAAGCGACACCATTTCCAAACAGCTTCAAATGTTTCACCTGTGAAAATGCAGGAGACAATTATAACTGCAATCGATGGGCGGAAGACAAATGGTGTCCACAGAGTAAGTGTGCTGAACTTAAAGATGTCTTATAATCTCACTTGGTTTAGTTCTCTCTTGACTTGCCCAGAGTAGAGATGGCTTACCTAACAGACTAGGTTTCTTTCTTGAAGTACATTGACATCATGTTTAACCACAGTCTTATGCTTTAAATAATACGTTGTTAAACAATATTGTTGTTGCACAAGCATTATAATGTGTACTAAAACAAATCTAGATGAATGGCCTATTACAGACTTAGGTCATGTAGTATATAGCCTTTGACTCCTCAGCTACTAACTCCATTATTGTACTGAACATCGTTGATGATTATAAAATATTTGTGCGTGTAAACATAGTAAAGGTACATTGAAATATAGTAAAAAAGATAAACTTCAAAATGGCACAATTGTATGGAGCACTTGCCATGAATAGAGTTTGCAGGATTGGAAGTTACTGTGGGTGAGCGAATGAGTGAGTATAAGTGAATGTGAAGGCTAGGACATTATTATATACCACTGCAGACTTTATAAATCCTATACATTTAGGCTAACTGTAAAACCAGATACTTTTGTCAATAAGTTAATATCAACTGCTTCTAACTCTGTTATAAATTTAAAATTTTTAAACTTTGACCTGTAAGAATTAGCTTAAATGTAAATACAACAGAATAAAATATCTATTTAATATATAAAATATGGTAAAATTTAAATACAAAAGTAGTTTTCTCTTACATCCTTATACTGTATACTTTTTTCTGTGTTTTCATTTTTAACTTTTGTGTTTTAAGCTTTAAAAAAAACCATCCAAAATTGGATGTACACAAACACATTAAACTAGGCCTACACAGGGTCAGGATCATCACTATCACTCTCCTCCACTTTCCCACCTCATCCTACAAGCAGGTCATTAGGACCAGAAGCACATATGACAACGTCTTCCCATGTGACAACATGCCTTCTTCTGAGCACCTCCTGAAGGATCTGCTTGAGGCTCTTGAAGAAGACTGCTCTATCCTTTGTCCAAGCATTTGTTTGGGCTGTTTCTGGTTTCATCACAGATTCGCTTGTAAGCAGAGAACACAGCATCAGCTTCCTGTTAGTGAGCCTGTTAGAGAGTCTTTAGGTGTTGGAGTCCATAGTTTCCTTCTCTCAGGTCTCTTTTTTCATTCAAGTGTTGACTAGGTCAGGGGAACTGTTTAGCTCCGTTGGAGTCCAATGGGACTACTGTGATATTTGTGGCTGATTGTTCACCAAACTTGCGTGTGGTGTGACTTAGTACTGAGAAACCCTGGAAACTGTTGGTGCAACCTCTGTTTATAGCTGTGTGTGCCTTCAAGGAGAATTTCTTAAACGATATCTACTGGGAAGGACAGATGGACTGCAGTGTGGACTAAGGAATCCCAAGGATTTTATCAATGCTTGATGATCTCTAAAACAGTCATACTTGCTGAGATTGATGCTTAGTTCAAAATTCATTCCTTTAACAAACATTTGAGTATCTTCTTAGTTTATGTAGTTAACTGATACACCCCCTGGTGCCCAGTCCAGTGCCTGACCCAAATTACAAAGTTGGTAAATATTTACTGACTGAATGGATGCCTTTGATTAGGTTGTAAATGAAATCTTCCCTGGGGGCTGTTTATTAGAACTAAGATTTGGGGAGAACATGCAGCCTCGTTAGGATGCTGGTTAAGATGACTGTGTCCCACATTGGAGTACCTATGGGCCACGTCTGACTCTGGTCCTGACTCTGCCTCTTGACTCAGGCTCCTGCTAAAGTAAACCCTGGGAGGCAGCACTGATGATAAAATTCTCTGTGGGAGACCCGAGTTACCTTTCTAGCCGAACCCCAGCTGTTGGGGACATTGGGAAGTGATTCAGCAGATGAGAGATTTGTGTTTGCCTCTCAAACAAACAAGTGGATATGAGACTTGAAGACTTGAAGGTTCATTCATTTTTTATTGAAAGGCAAATTTACAAAGAGAAATATCTTCCATCCACTGATTCACTCCCTAGATGACTGTAACAGCCAGAGCTGAACTGATCCAAAGCCAGGAAGCTGGAGCTTATTCCAGGTCTCCTAGGTAGGTGCAGGGTACCAAGGCATTGGGCCATCTTCCATTGCTTCTATCCCTTCTTACACCAAGAAAAGTCCAGAAATGGAAAGGGTGGAAGAAAGTTAGAATTGCCATGTTCACACTAGGGAGCTGACTTAAGGAGGTGAACATTGAATGGCCTTACACAGCCCAATAGTATATCCCAGAGATGCTATCTGGTATAGTAACTGAGGGCATAATTTTTGGCTTTTCACTCTGATTTGCTTCACAGTAGCCAGGGTTCATCCACCTGCAGCTGAGACCCAGGAGCTTAATCCATAACACCCACATGGGAGGTAGAAATATAATTATTTGAGCCATCATTCCTGCCTCCCAAGGTCTACAGTAGTAGTAAGCTCAAATGAAGAGTGGAGCTAGGGCCCAGCACGGTAACCTAGTGGCTAAAGTCCTCACCTAGCCTACACCCTGATCCCACTGGTTCTAATCCCAGTGGCCCCGCTTCCTATCTATCTCCTTTCCTGTGGCTTGGGAAATCAGTTGAGGACAGCCCAAGCCTTGGAACTGTGCACCCACACAGGAGACCCGAAAACGCTCCTAGCTTTGGATAGCTCAGTTCTGGCTGTTGCAGCCACTTGGGGAGTGAATCAGCAGACAGAAGATCTTTAGCTCTGTCTCTTCTCTCTATATATCTAATTTTTCAATAAAAATAAAAGAAATAACCTTTAAAAAAAAAAAGAGCTGCAGTTGAACCCAGCTACACTGGTATGGGACATGGGTGGTATTATAACTTGCATCTTGATTACTATTCTAAACAGTATCCCCCAAGACCTATGATTTTGATAAAGAGCTTGCAGTTTTTTCTAAGCTTTAGTTGACATCAAAGGATAAATACCCATTGATGTTCACTTTTCAAAATACACATATATGCTTCAGAAGTTGAAGTCTTTTCATAAACGGAGCTTAGAAACTCTAGAGGTCACTGCTGTTAAATTCCTTGCTGAAATACCTACGAAACATCCTTAATTTTAGTTTCAAAGTTAATTTTTTAAGAGACTGTTGAGGGAGTCCCTCTTGCTGTGAACGTGAGAAATGACGAAGCTTTCTCCTGTCTGTTTTTCTCTTGCCTAGATACACAGTACTGTTTGACAGTTCACCACTTTACCAGCCATGGAAGAAGTACTTCCATCACCAAAAAGTGCGCTTCTAGGAACGAATGTCACTTTGTGGGATGTCGCCACAACCGAGATTCTGAACATACGGTGAGGATTGTGTGTGTGTGTGAAATTTTTGTCTCAGATTTCATGCCAGTGATGATAAGCTATCCATTCAGGAAGAGATGGAAGGGATAATTCATATGTTGAACATATTTATCCTGTGAGGAAGGATTTCATTACAATGATGAAAAGGAGACCAAGAGGGAATTCTTCACTGAACTATGATGTCCCTGAAAATGAATGAGAATCCTGACTCCTTGAGCTGGACCCTAAACTTGAACTTTGCTTGGAAGCTTGGAAGCACACCATCTGTAAGAGAACAGCTGAAACTCCAGAGCCCAGCTGAGCTGCTGTTTTCATGGATGGCAGTTCCCAAGCACAATTGCACAAGGATGCTGGAAAGCCGAAAGAGGCAGTGACAGCACTTACCGGGAAAGCCTTGTCCCATTGGCCGCTTCTACTTACATGAGGACATGAGAAACTGAAAGATTACCCGTAGTCTATTACAATGAACCATAGATATGTTTAGATCAATTGATCTGCATAAGATTCTCATTTTATCACTCCAAATAAGGTTTTACTCCTAATTTGCCTAGAATCCTGAAATGTCTAGAAATTATTTGAAAGCATATTTGTTTCAAGAGGTTTTGATATCTGACATAGATGATAAGCATAGAAAATGGTTCTATGGCATCAGCTCTGGCTACACAGTGCCTAGGTTATGCTTAAGAGAGGCAGTAGGAAGCCATCCAGGCTAGTTGAATCTCAGAGTAGGGGTTCTGGATTTTAGGAGTTTTTTTAAGTTATAAAATGTTTAAAAGGGCGATTTGTAAGTGTCACTGGGGGGTGAGAATCACTGATAGAAATGCTTGGAGCTGATGCTTTTATCTTACTTGGCTGACCTGGAAGTCTCCGTGAATGCCTGGGTATTAGACTGAGGAGTCGTATGAGGTACACATTAGTCTTATGGTAGGAGGTGATTTCCCCTATACCTTATGTTCTTAGGCCTAAAACCTTTCCATCACTCAGCAGCCATAATTTACAGGCTTTCACTGCTGCAAGCAGGTGTGACCATAGACAATCTTGAGCCATTACCACCCCCTAACAAGCAGCACTGAGAGAATCTCAACAGCTAACCCAAAATGTTCTTACCTTTCATTTTGCCGTTACAAACTCATAGATTATTTGACTCCATCAAATAGTCATATTCAGTTTCCCTTCCTTTTGTTTGCCTCGCTTATACGAGTTGACACAGATGAGCCGCAGTCAGAATGAGAAGGATCTCAAGATGGTCTTTCTCCCTTGACCCCTTGTGGGCAGGACAGTGAAGAAGGCAGGCAGGGATCTCGGAGACACGCAGCCCTGGAGAGCCAACTCTTGTTGTCTGTCTGCAGAAAGAGCTGACATTCCATTTCTCTCTGTTTCACCCCATCCCTTTTTGCCTTGTTTTCTTCTCTCTCCCCTCTCCACTTCTGTCTGTCACAGGAGTGTAGATCTTGCTGTGAAGGAATGATCTGCAATGTGGAATTACCCACCAACCACACTAATGCAGTCTTTGCTGTGATGCACGCTCAGAGGACCTCCGGCAGCAGTGCCCCAACGCCCTACCTGCCAGTGCTTGCCTGGGTCTTCGTGCTCCCCTTGCTCTGAGACTGCCCTTCCACAGAGAGGCAGAGAGGAGCCCTCTGAAGCACAAGCCCCACATGGTGTGAACAGCGTACTGTGGAGTCAAGGTCAATCCTGCATGCACGTGGTGATGAGGGCGCCTGGACCCCAATGCAAAAGTCAGGAGTTTGCCTCATTCATATGCTGTCTCGTGAGGCAAGCATGGAGAATGGAGATTGGCTAACCTTCTGCCTTCCTCGTCACAGCGGCTGCCTCTGTCCCGGTTCTGAGGGGAGAACCCTGCCAATGGCTCTGACAGGTTTCAGAGCATGACTTCTCCCTGCCTGATTAAGCATGGAGCTGAAAGGACTTTCTGGTCTTGTGGACTCAAGAAGCTACTGGGTCAGACTCTCTTGTTTCTTCCACTAGGTTGGAGTATCTGTAAAACCTCACCCTTGCTGACAAGAGAGTACTGAGAATGGCCCCCAGAAGAGGAGCCCTTGCTGCGGAATGAATATGAAATCCATTTGCGAAGTGTGCGTGCATGTGAGGGGAGGGGAATAAAGCTCTTAAAGTGTTGGTGTTCTGGTGCTCCTTGCCAGACATGGGGTTTAGTGGTGTTGTGCAGGAGGTCAGGGACACTGTCGGTGACATAGGCTGGCTTCGTGGATGAGATTTTATGCCAAAGTGGCTTAGTATTTTTCCTCTTCAGGAAGATACTTTTGGTGGTGCTAAATGGAACCGTAGTAAACTAGAATGATCAAGACGCCTCCCTATGTAGGAAGGATGACACATTATCACATGACACAACCTCAGCTACAATAACTTAAAGAGTCATAGTCCCCCCACCCCTAAAAGGCAAAAGGGTCCCCTGTCCCATGCAGTCTCCACCCTCTGTGTGAATGTCAGGCCTGCCAAGATATACTTCCTAAACACACGCAGCTGTGTTTCATCCCATTGCCTCCTTCTCTTTCGATTTGGTGTGACACATCAGAATCCCAAAGGAGCATCATCTCATTGTTTCTAGTATCCTGACATCTTGCCTTCCCACATGGGTCTTTATGTACTCTGCACTTGTGTATATAATGACAACTTAGTGGAGTGACTTTTTTTCCCCTGATTAAGCATGCACCCTTGGAATGCTCAGTGCTCTGCGGAACCCATTCATGATGCTGTCCCTGCTCCAAAGACTCGCCTATGACATGGGTTGGCCACCTGTGGCCCACTGGCCAGATCTGTTCCACCATATGTTCTTAGGTATAAAGGCTTGTTAGTCCACAACCCTGTCCATTACTTATATGATGTCTGTCTCCTTTCGTGCTACAGTGGCGGGAGTACATGGATGTGGCCAAGAGTGAGTCTGAAAATTTGCTACCTTTTTGAAACAGAAGACATTTGCTGAACCTAAAGTGCATGAGGTCAAGGTTGCCTGAGGAGAAAGCCACTTTCTTTGCAGGACCTGGAACTATGATGTCAATGGTGGTCATTCAGCCAGGGCAATGGCTTCTCACATCACTTTCATTGTTGTGTCTTGCAGCAGTTTTTCAACTCTTTTGAAAATTTGATTTATTTGAAAGGGAGAGTGAGCGTTAAACACTCCCAGATGCCCAAAATATCCACGATTGGACCAAGCTAAAGCCAGAAGACAAAGTCTCTATTTGGATCTCCCATGTTCCTGTCACGGCCCAGAAATTTGAGCCATCATTATCTACTGCCTTCTATAATGTGCTTCAGTAGGGAGCTAGACTCAGAAGTAGAGTGGAGACTAGAACCCAGGCATTACTGTATGAAATGCTGGCATCTCAAGCAGTGTATTAACCACTGAGCCAAACTCCTGTACCCCATGTTTGGGTTCTTGCATTTATTTGATTCTCTTAGTTATGTGCTGATGTCAGGGACTGCATTTGTGTCTCTTGTCCTTGACATATACTGGGAGCATCTCATGTTAAGGCTCTTTAGCTTCCCATAAAACAGGGAGGGAGTAGACATCATTATTTCTCTGTCTCTGACCTAACCTTAGGTTCACCTGGAAGCAGCAGTTGGAAGCCTGATATAGATTCATTCCACATTTCACTCACTTGATGTATATGTGTTTTCATAGCTTATGCATGTTTGAAATTAATTATATGTGGCTTCACTTGGAATATTTTAATAGTATCTTTGGTGTCTTTATTCCCCAGGGTTTCTTTTGACTATATAATTGATGAATTGTTGGGTTAAAAAAACACATTAGCAGATAGTAATTTTTTTTCTGATTTTGTTTCTGCTGTCTAGATTAATGAATTTTCCTTTGTGGGGTGTGTGTGTGTGTTTCTTAGAGAAACACTTTAGTTTTCTTGATTCCATATTTCATGTTTGTATACTTCTACTTTTTGCTCACTCCCTGGAGTGTTTTAAAGGTGGCCATGTGAGAACCAGGAACCAGAGGTATTCCAAATAAAAAAAAGAGGATGCCCCATTATATTTGAACTTCAGATTTAAACAGCAATTGCATTTCTTTTCCAAGTAAATTATTCACAGACTCACAAATATGGCTCACCCAAAGATATGGTTTCAAATCCTTGAAATAAATCATCCCATTCTAAGTAAATTTCTAAACAAATTCCCAGGACATCCTAGAAACATTAATTTAATAGATCTGAGATAATGCCCAACCCTCACCTCCAAAGCTAAATGCTGAAATTAAGATATAAAAAGCTCCCAGGGCATTGGTTAGGGGCTAAGTCAAGCATACTACCTTTTACCTAACAGGATCCTTCTTTCTGAAGCCCAGTCATGACTACATGATAGAAACGTGGATAGGTGATAAAATACACAGCAGAGGTATGCTTCACAAAGTGGGGTCCCTAGATCAGCAGAGTCAGCATCACTTGGAAGCTTATTAGAAATGCAAATTTACAAACTGCATCCCAGACCTACTGAAGCAGCAACTCTGAAAATTCCATCTGTGCTCTAACAAGGCCTCCAGGTGCTTCTGATGTACATACAAGCTCAAGGACCACTGGACCAGAGAAGAGCTTCCTCCATGTCTTTAGTAAATGGGTCCATCGTGACTGCCTGAGAGTCCCCCATGGATCTTGTGTTAAAAAAAAAAAAAAAACCACAATCATGTTTCTGAGCCTCAGCTTTAAAAATCAAATATTCGTTAGAGATAGAGTGAATCAGAGCTGCAGTTTTTACAAATTGAAGTGATTCTAGTAGATGAACACTTTGTAAGGCACCAAATGAAAGAATAAAGAATGAGGGTGATGTTCCTGATTGGAGCCAGGTTCTAATGACCAAACCTTGAGTCTCACCTGAGAGCCCGAGGCACATTAAATTGACAAAGCCAGATCCAATCATTGGAAGGTGTGGAATTTTATTCGTTTATGTTTGTTTTAGTCCTCATAGGGAACTGGAAAAGTGAGGTGTTCTAGACTTCAGGCTAATTTATTCCTAATGAATAAGATAATGATAAATATGATATCATAATGTCCAATGAAAAATTGAGTATGGGGGCAAGACGGAAGGGAAATGTGCAGGTTTCTTGGTATGGAGACGAGGGGAATAGTGAAAAACATGAAGAAGGTTCTGAAGGAATGGCCTGTCACATGTCTTTTTTTCAGGTCTGAGTGAAGTTAGCTAGCAGCAACCACAAGCATTATTGTTTATACAACATGAATTTTGTCATGTGCGTCCCTGGAGAAACTATTTCATGGGACAGAAGGTGAGTTGGTTTCTTTGTCTCCATGGGAAAGAGCTTGTCAAGCCGTGCAAAGCATGGAAGAAGCAGTGAAGACTTGAACGGTGAGATATGATGTAGAATCTGAAAAATGTATTTCATGTTCAGGGAGTGACTTAACTCTAAAACAAAATTTTTTGTGACATGTAGATTGTCAACTAACAGAGGCATACTCTGACCTTTGGTCTTGTATATTTTATTTTCGCCCCATTGGCTGTTGTCTACTGTGTGATTTGTAGAGTGTGTTACATTGTGAAGCTGGGTATGTCTGGGTGCAAATTAAGCCAGAAGACAAAAGCTGGTGAATGGACAAAGGTGAAAGTGAAGGTGCTAAAAAACAAATGACTGTGGTCATATGAGGTGCCTTGGAGTATTGCTCCACTACCATGCATCCAAAAATCACTCAGCAGCTTTCTATTTTACCTCCTACTCTCCCTGTAGCTTTATAATTCTTTCTCCTTCCCCACCTCTCTCTGTCATTGCCTGGGCCTATATTTCATTAGAAGTTAAGCCTGAAGGCCAAGCTGTCTTTGTGCTGGTACAGAGAGTGGGACAACCATAGCTTGGGCGAAAAAAAATAGGGTTTCTCCCACTGAGTTGCAGGAATACTTTTAAGCAGTCCTGGGAATCTGTATTTTTTTTTTTATTGTTTTTTTTTTTTTAAAGATTTATTTTTATTATTTTGTTATTGGAAAGGCGGATATACAGAGAGGAGAGACAGAGAGGAAGATCTTCCATCCGATGATTCACTCCCCAAGTGAGCGCAACGGGTCGATACTACGCCGATCCGAAGCCAGGAGCCTCTTCCGGGTCTCCCACGCGGGTGCAGGTTCCCAAAGCCTTGGGCCGTCCTCGACTGCTTTCCCAGGCCACAAGCAGGGAGCTGGAAGGGAAGCGGGGCTGCCGGGATTAGAACCGGCGCCCATATGGGATCCCGGGCGTGCAAGGTGAGGACCTTTAACCACTTGCGCCACCGCCCCGGGCCCGGGAATCTGTATTTTTAACAAACATCTAATTATATATTAGTAATTCTAACACTGGTAATCTTAGGCACTAGTAAAGCATTTTTCAAGGCCAAGGTCTCAGCATAGGCTGTGGAATTTTATGCTGAGAATGTCATATATTTTTCAAACCTGCATCTAAGTACTTTTTAAATACATGAATGTTGGTCCCTTTGAATGGGGTTGGGAGTACCTGGAAAATACCTGGCAGTGATACTATATTGAGAATCATCCTGGGAGACTCGAGACAAGTGAGAGCTCTGGGCAGGAAGTCTGGGGCTCCTTTTAAGCAAGCAGGATGACCAGGGGTCTGACAAGTCAATGAAGTCATAGCCAAGGCAAAAAGAAGGGAAAGCAAAAGTCAAGGTAAGCCTGTTGTAAGCCTAAACACAACCTGAAGATCAGCTTCAATGCAAGAAATCTTCAGAGGAGAAATAGCTTTTGAGAACAGCTTTTAGGGTTCCCAGCTGGGCAGGGCAATTTTGTTTTAATAGAGCATTCTGCCAGTCAGGTGAATGCAACTGTAAGTAACAGAGTCCCAATCAAATTGTTGCTACAAGTCTAGAGGGAGAGTGGGCTTCAAGGTGGACTGAACCCAGTGATTCTGCTGCCCTTTGCCTTGTCACCTTGCTTATTCCCATGCAGTATCTGGGAATGTTGTTGAAAGCTCTCCAAGATGAGAAGGTCTTCACACAGCATCTTTGCAAATTACAAACAAGAAGGCAGCTTAGTGACCCTTGAGGAATGTGTGGTGCAGAGGCGAGAGTGGGTATCTGAGCAAACAAATTAGAAAGGAGGCAAGAA